TGAGCATCTTTTCATGTGTTTGGTGGTCATTTGAATGTCCTCTTTGGTGAAATGTTTATTCAAGTCCTTGGCCCATTTTATGATTGAATTTTTTTGTCTTTGTTGTTAAGTTGATGAAATTTTATATATATTTGGGTTATTAGAGTCTTTTCAGATATATGGTTTCTGAAGATATTGGCCCAGTTGGTAGCTTATCATTTTACTTTTTTGGTGAAGTGTTTTAATGAATAAAAGTTTTTAATTTTTAGGAAGTCCCATTTATTTATTTTGTCTTTTGCCATTTGTGCTTTGGTTATTATGTTAGGTAACCCATTGTGGAAAGCTGGGCCTGAAAGCATTGCCCCTGCTTGTTCTGCTAAGAATTTTATGGTTAATACATTTTGCACATTTAGTTCCTTAATCCATTTTTAATTTGATTCTGTGTGTGCTGTGAGGCATAATCTTGTTTCATTTTTCTACATATTGAAATCTAAGTTTCCTAGCACTATTTATTGAAGAGACTCTTCTTTCTCCATCTAATGGACTTAGCATCTTTGTCAAAAATCAGTTGAGCATAGATGTGTGAGTTTATTTCTGGACTTTCAGTTCTATTCCATTGGTCTGTGTGTCTATTGTTATACCAGTACCAGGCTGTTTTGATTACTATAGCTGCATAGTATGTTTTAAAATCAGGAAGTGTGAGTCTTCCTATCTCATTAAGAACTAACTCAATTTTGATTCTTTTAATTTTGGATTTGAGATCATAGAATTCAGATTAGGTTGGAATTTACACAGAAGTATTAAGAAAGACTTTAACAGCCTTGTTCTGGACATAGGTAAATTCCAGACAAGTTGCTTTTAGGGACTGGCTGCTGTTTGCTGCAGGATGTGCCCTGCTGAAGTTGTCCTCATCCTGGAATTTTCTGTGAATTTCCTGTGATAGGGAAGGTGCAGTACTGACTGACAGTGGGAAACTGACAGTTTACTATCTTGTTATAAAAAATATTCAGTCTCTTTGAAATGCAAAGGAGCCCTGATGGTGCATTGGTTAAAGTACTTGGCTGCTAACCAAAGGGTCAGTGGTTCGAACCCACCAGCTGCTCTGCAGGAATAAATGTGGCACTCTGTTTCTGTAGAGATTACAGCCTTGGAAACCCTATGGGGCAGTTCTACTCTGTCCCTATATGGTCACTATGAGTCAGAACTGACTCCATGGCAATGGGTTTGGGTTTTCTCTGGTTCTCTTTGAAATCTACCAACTGGCTGTTTTCTCCTCTATAGGATTCTACTTCAGGAGAAAAGAAATTGTCTACTGATGCAGCTGGAAGAAGCTACCCGCTTAAAGTCCTATCTCCAGTCCCAGTTAAAGAGGTTAGTCGCTTTAAAAGAGAAAATAATACTTCACTATTGTGTTATAATGGCGTTTCCATGAACTTTGTAATTCCTTTTCTTTTGGATTTTTTCCTCTTGCAACTTGGAATCTGAGAGGTGATGTAAATGCAGAATGGAAGAATGGAAAACTAACATGTGATTTTTTTTTTTTAAGATGACCTACTAATATATGATTCAACAGCTATGAGCAGAATTGAATTCAGAAGAACCAGTCTGAAGTCACATTTAGCTGAGGATTTTTATAAACTAATACACAGCTTCAGAAGTGTCTCTATGTATATGCATGCATATGTTTTTATTTTGGGATTTTTTTTTAAAGCATACGAGTATTTTAAAAATAAGTGAAGTGGACATTCAATAATAATAGCTCATGTCTTCAAGGACTTGCTGTATTTTGAAGTATGATGTTAAGGGCTTTATAGGTCTTGTTTTCTCAGTTATTCCTAACAGTCCCGTGAGGTAGGAACGGTTATTACCCCAGTCCTGGTGTTCAAGTGGGAGACTCAGAGAGAGTAACTAACTTGACCTAGTATACTCAACTTCCAAATATTTGACCCTGGACTTGCACTCATGATTTTAACCCCTGCTCTATACTGATACTAAGAAGAAACAAAGGAAATATTAATGAAGGTACAGTAACATACTCATAGGGGTTTTAAAAATCATCCAGTTAGTGGGAGCATGAGGCTGGATTTTCTTCCCTCATGGAACAGACTAGAAGCTCTTGATGTGGTCTCCGGGCTGGTTTGCTCAGAGCATGGCCTCTCTCATTTCAGCCTGTCTGCCAGCACCCTGACGGTGTCCTCGGGGAGCAGCCGGGGCTCCCTGGCCTCCAGCCGAGGCTCACTGGCCTCTAGCCGAGGTTCCTTGAGCTCTATCAGCTTCACCGACATCTATGGCCTGCCACAGTATGAGAAACCCGATGCTGACGGCGGCCAGCTTTTGCGCTTCGACCTAATTCCCTTTGACTCTCTGGGACGAGATGCCCCCTTTTCTGATTCCCCTGGCCCCTCCAGCTTCAACAAGCAGAGGCGGTCCCTGGACACACCCCAGTCCCTGGCTTCCCTGTCCTCCCGCTCCTCCCTGTCTTCCCTGTCACCCCCAAGCTCACCTCTGGACACACCCTTCCTTCCGGCCTCGCGGGACTCTCCTTTGGCCCAGATGGTGGATGGTTTTGAAGTGCCAGGCCTGGGCGCATTAGACAGACTGCGGACCCAGGCCTCTGCTCTGGGGGATGAAGAACTGCAGGGAACAATGTCCCTTCAGCCACACCTATTCCCCTGCGATGGGGAAGGATCGCGCGAGCGAGGACCCCAACTGGCTGGTGCTCCTGCAGGTGGAAGTAAGTATCGATGAGGCCTCTGGGCTTTCACAGTCCTGGGAAGAAAGGTTTAAAATTCGAGGAAGAGAATGAGCAATTGCATTGAGGCTGGCTGGCGTTTCCATTACATCGTAAGCTTTAAATTTAGGAAGATCGATGGGATTAGGAAGAGCGCCAACCTGCGCTAGTCTGTGTAGTTTCATTGTGGGGCTTTCCGCCTCTGGAAAGATAATGTCACTTGGCAAAGTAGTCTTCCCCACATATTTGACTAGTTGTCAGAAAGTATTTAATTGTTGAAAATGAGCTAAGACCCACATAATATCTCACCTTCAGAGGAGATATTCAGTAAAGACCAGAGTGGGGTCTGATTGTAGCCAAGCAGAGACCTCTACATCCTTTTCAGCTGGGAGCAGTATTGCCCCCACCCCATGCACACACATACAGAGGACATTAGGCAATGTCTGGAGACATTTTTGGTTGTCACAACCGGGTACAGAGAGGATGCTACTGACATCTTGTGAGTGGAGGCCAGGCATGCTGCTAAATATCCACCATGTGTAGGACAGCCCCTCACAATGAGGAATGATCCAGTCCTAAATGTCAACAGTGCCAACAATGAAAAAACCTGGTAACCTATGTGGAGGAGTTTAATGCAAAGAATCGAAATAAAACTTGACTACAAAACCAGTGTGGTATAGTGGAAACTACTTCAGACTAGCAGTTCAGAGACCTAGGTTCTGTTCCCTGCCCTATCAACTGGCTAGCTGTGTAACCTTGAGCTTGAGGTGGCCCGTCACTCATCCGAGTCTTGGCTTCCCCATCCTTGAACAAGGTGGTTTTTTATGGTCCCTTGTGTTGATCTCCATTCTGTTACCTATGAGTTACATATATGCTATGAGTCCCTATTAACACTTAGATATTTCACCAGAGACCTGTCCTGTTCTGAGGCAGCACTAGGCCTTTCTGGCTCTGTTACTTGGTATCTTCCTCTCTGTGTTGGCAAATGCCTTTCATGTCTTCAGATACACTGGTTTTATCCAGGGACGCTTTGTTCACTGGGTTCTGCCTCATAGGCAAAGGTTCGTTATTCCATGTTTATACCTTTCATTCAAAACAGGACGGGATTGCACATCCGTCATCGCTTAAGTTTATTTTCTCCTTAGTCTTTTTTTCCCCCTTATGCTAACGTTTCTTTAAAGGTTGAGATACGAGAGTATCAAGCTGGCCATCAGAAAATCAAGACGAGGAACAAGGCATGCTTTGGGCCGGGGGGAAGACAGGGTGTGAGAGAGAAGAACTGACTTAATTTTTGATCTTTGATGTCTTGATCTTCCCCTTCCCCCTCTGTGGCAGACTCCATAATGGGCCAAATGGCTTAGATTCGGAAGTATTTTGCTTAAGCTGCGTTTTGATACTGCCACCTGGTGGTGGACTCCTGCATGCCATAGTCAGTTGTCTCCTTTTTACAAACTTGAAGCCACTGACTCAGGTGATGGGTCCTGTTGGGTGTTCCCAGAGGGCTGGGTTGGATAACAACTTCAGGCATGGACACAGGGTGACTTCTTGCTTCCCTTGGTGCTTGCAGGAACACCGGAGCCTACTTTGTAAGGGTCATGGTGCTCATTAAGTCACCCTTTCCCCTTTATCGATGCCAGGGTCATTTAGTTCCCTCTGACTTTTCAGTCTTACCAGGAGCAACACTGTCCCCGTGACCCCAAGGAAGTTCCTATCACATTTGAACCATACCGGTTGCTGCTGAGTCAACTAACTGACTCGTGGCAGCCCCGTGTGCATCAGAGTAGAGCTGTGCTCTGTTGGATTCTCAGTGGCTGCTTGTTTGGAAGTAGATGACCAGGACTTTCTACTGAGGGACCTCTGGGTAAACTCGAACCTCCAACCTTGTGGTGAGCAGCCAAGCACGTTAACCGTGTGCTTCACCCTGGAGAGCTTATCATATTTCAGTAAGAGAAAATTCAAACATTGCCCAAACTTATAAGGCAAGCATACTAAATGATTTTTTCCATTGTGTTGTCAGTCACTGTGAGGGGAAAGAATGTGAGCCAAGTGGGAAAATTGACTTTAACATTTTAATATTTTCATGTTTCTAGTACACTTTGGTCTTCTCTGGACTTTAAAAGTCAAATGTGTCATGATTTTGAAATACTTTTTTACTTTCCTCAACCTGTAAGTATTTGTTAATCGAAACCTGTAAAAGCCTTGGCTTTTCTTGTCTGTGCATTGACATTTTTGTTACAGTTACTCTCTGTTTAAAATTATTGGCTGAAATTCTGCAGTTGTTTTCACTTTGTGCTTTTTTTTTTTTTTAATCTTGTTTCTCATGCGGCACGGCAGAAACATTCACTGTAAGTGACCTTGGAATTACTGTTCACCTTTGTTGGCTAGCCTGTGAATGCATCTTTGTGTAGTGGATAAATTTCTTTCTTGTGGCGGGGGTGTTGCCAAGGAGAACATACCGTATAGCTCTCATATGCTGTAGCTTACCTGTTACTATTATTATTATTGTTACTGTTACTGTTGTTCTTTCTGCATTAACATTCATGATGCCTGCTAAAGTTGTATAAGAACTTTTCTAAAAGCTTTGTTTATTTCCTTTATGTATTTTCTCCCTAGAATTTAATAGCTTTCATTATGTTAACATACCATCTAATGACTTTACCCACAATGTGATTTTCATTGTATCTTCTTCCTTTTTATCAAGCACTGTTGATGGCCTTAGGTCTCAGCGTCACTCTGTCTGTCTGTCACTAATGATGTAAAAAGGTCAGAGATCTTGAAAGCATGTGTTTGCAGGAGCGTCCATCCCTTGCTTCCTTTGCATCACTCCCCAGGGCCAACCTGGCTGTGTTGAAACCGAAGAGTGGAGTCTGGGTGTGCAGTGTGGTTTCTGTGGGTCCCTTTTTGCTCACCCTTTTGCAACAACTGCCAGTGTCCTTGAGTCACCTTCTGCTGCCGAGTACTCTTTGAGCTCGATCACTGAGCCTGGGCCCACTGAGGATTAAGTCCTTAGTCTCCTCTGTCTCTTCATCAACTTTCATTGTGACAATGAGAGAGAAATGGCCTCCGACTTCCACTGGGAGGTGAACTGGAGCTGCTTGTGCTTGTGTCCCATTGTTACTTCCCAAAACAAAGCAAAATCAGCCGCCAGCAAGTCAGCTCCAACTCTTGGTGACCCGTGTACACAGAGCGGAACCAGGCTCCATAGGGTTTGCAGCGGCTGGTGTTTTGGAAGTAGCCCACCAGGCCTTTCTTCCAAGGTGCCTCTGGGTGGACTCGAACCACCGACCTTTTAATTAGCAGTCAAGTACATTAACTGTTTATGCCACCCAGAGACTCCATTATTCCCCAAGAGCCAGTTTCAGGGCCGGGGATCAATTTTTTTTAGCTGGGGATTCGTGTAGCCAATTGGTATGTTCCATTTGCAATTCAGGGCCAGTGGTTTAGGTCCTTTGCATATGGCTGGGTGGAAGAAAAGAGCTGGACTTAGGAGATCTGACCTACAATTAGAGCCCCAGGGCCTCTGGGCAGCCCAGAAGGGCTCCAGCTTCCCGTTCCTGGCTGACCAGTGGAGGAGGTGGTCACCTCTGGGCTTACCACCTGGGGTTGCATTCCTGAAAGGTTAACATTTTGTCTCCAAGTGAAATTGTGAAACCAAATGCCACAGCCCTGTCTTCTTTGTTTGGTGCAGTATTTAACGGTGTTGCTTGTATTCAATCAGGGTGAATGATAATTTGGTTGAAAAGAAGTCTGCTTGTAGGTTTGGCCATTTCCCTCAATTTAGAGATCACAGATGTCAAGACTTTCCAGTTAGAGAGCTTATATAGCTGAAGAAAAGTCCAGAGACACTGGGGGCACGTGTCTTATGACCAGAGGGCATCACGATCACATTTCTGAGCTGAATATTTTGATTCTGTTTTCTAAGCAAGTGCACCTCTATGTAGAACGATTGAGACTACACGTTTAGCACAAGCAGATGATATGCATGTTTTTATTGTTTTTGTTAAAAGGACCGCATTCCTATGAGAGAAGGGGTAGTAACAGTTGATGACATGCTGAAAGAAAAATGCCAATGCTAATTCTTGGCATGTGATTAAAGTAGACGTGAAACTTACATGTAAGGTGCCTGCCAGTGGCCGTGTTGTCACCCCAGGGAGGCCATTCTGGAGGAGAATCTGGCCCTAGACCTGCTGGTAGTGATATTGCAGCCCAGAGCCCCCCAGCCTCTTCCAGAGATCCCCAAGGGAATGCTTTGCAAAGGCCATCCTGGTAGAAATGAGGGCCGTTCGGTTTTGTTAGGACTTACTTGGATCATTCAATTAAAAAAAAAATCTGATTAGAAGCACAGTGTATGTTTATTATATAAAATATGGAAAACACCAAGTACATAAAGAAGAAAATGCCAAATAACCATGTTCCACCCTCTAGAAGGAGCAGCTGCCATTAACCGTTTGGGGACCTGTCTCTCTCTTTCCATTCTGCCAGTCTGTCTTGAAGTACATTGCAAAGGGCTTCCCACCAACATCGAATGTTGTTTGTGCTCATTGAGGAGGTGAAGAGATGTTTATGGTTTCAAGTGTCTTTCCAGAGAATTTAAAGAAGTAGGCAGCCGTTCACTTTTTTTTCTTTTGTTTAGTTTTTCAGTATTTTCCGTATATTTGGAACCATACCCATAGCTGTAATGAGGCATCTCTGAGACAGTCACTTGGTAACCTCTTATGTCCGTCTCTTATTTATAGCAGTGACTCTTCGAGAAGACAGTGCCAAGAGGTTGGAGAGGCGAGCTCGCCGTGTCTCTGCTTGCCTGTCGGATTATTCTCTAGCCAGCGACAGCGGGGTGTTTGAACCTTTAACCAAAAGGTCAGAAGCTGTTCTTACTCGTCCCCTCACCCTGGCCAGACTTATTGCAACGTTACTATTACGTATTGAACCAAAAGGACACATGCTGAAACTTGTACATGTTGAAATTCTGTGTATTGATCTGTGAGCAGAATATTTTACAACTTGTTTCAGCTGTGGTAGATTGGACTGGAGAAACTGGAAAGGCAAACTTTGGGATTCGGGGTGGTGTTTGGAGACTTGGTTCAGCTTCGTAGTTTTAGGAAGATTTCTTTCTCTCTGGCCCTGGTTGGGTACAAGGCCCAATAGAGCTGGAAAGGGAGAATCAATGTACATGAGAGATCTGCTTTTCTAGAAAGGACATTAATTAGAAATGAATTTCCTCCCTCCTTCCCACTTGGGAATGACAAAACAGCTTTTGGGATTTTGTGCTTCATTTTGGCTTGATATTTTTGACGTCAGTTATCTCTTTGGACATCAGTAAGTCTCAGGTACCTTTCAGACATTTCACTCATTGCAAACTTTTGAAAAGTTGTTTGGAACTTTACCCTGAATATCACATGTGATTTAGAAAGGAATGCAGTTACTTTCTAAAAAAAGAAAAAGAAAAGAGTTTGCCAGCAGGTTGCTCAATAAGTCACGGATCCAGGCACCTGTTGTGCCCTTTCAGACACGTAGTGAGTTCATGTCTATGGAAGTTTAGTAAGGCCCTTCTAAGTAAGACAAGAAGATTATTAACATGAGAGCACTGCAGCAAAATCTGCATTAATCATTGCCCCTTGGAATAAACCCCGGTGAATTTCAATTGTGTGTAGGAGCGAAGATGCCGAGGAGGCTGCCTATGGTGAGGCTGGCAGTCATGAAGAGCCCCAGATCCACGTGGGGTTTTTGTGAGTACAGAAAACTCCTTTGCTGTTGGTCTCTAGGGCAATCTGTAGATTGGAGTGATCCCTGCCAGGGTCCATCTTTACATGCCCGGCGATTCACACCTCCACACGCAGGGCGAGATGGGATGGAGTGGGCAATTCTGGGTGCTGCTCCCATCCTCGATACCCCCAGGATCACTGTAGTCAGTCTTTGGTGGTAGCCCAGCTGCTCCAGTGCCATCTTTCAGGTGGACTTGTCACCTCCTGCCGCAGGGGGTTAGGTGGCTGTAGCACCCTGGGTACCAAAAGCCTCCAGAGAAGTCTGACTCTTTAGGGGAAATGATCACACATTTCTGCCAGAAGTTGATTCTACTCATGGCAACACAGATAGTGAGGCCCTTTCCCCCATCCCCAGAGTTAGGTCACCAGGTGATTTGCAACAGGTCACCTTTAGGTTTCTAATTACAGTTTCTGGGAAGGCTGTGACCTGTGATGGCCACATTAGCAAGGCAGAAGGTTCCTGTGCCAACAGTTTTCTTTTGCTCCCTCTTGTAAGTGCAGTCCAAGGTTTTCCCCCTCGACACTGTTTGCATTTGGGACCCGATCATTCTGTATCGGGGCCTGTCCTGTGCACTGCAGAGTGTTGAGCAGTGTCCCTGACTTCTACCCACTAGATGCCAGTAGCACCCCCTTCTCTGTGGGTTTGGCAACCAAAATGTCTCCAGACATTGCCCATGGACCTCTGGAAGGCATAATTAGCGCTGTTAGAGGGCCGCTGCTCTGGTTCATTCAGCAGGATTTGTCCACCATGGGGGATTTGCAGTTGGTGAACTAGCGTGTTCTTTCCTAGGCACGATAGCGGCAGTGAATGTCTCCTCGTGAATGTATTGCAGCTGAAGAACTTTGCTGGGCTGGGTGTGAAGGAAGACTGCAAGATGTAAGTTCAGGGCTAGGTGGGGGCTGGGATGGGTTCTTCAAAGAATGGGGGGCGTGCACAGCTGACGGTGTTCTATCTCAGGCTCTTGTTAGACAATGCAGCCCGCTGGCCTGTTCTGCTTGTCAATTTTGCAAAAGAAAAGACAGTTTTGGAACCTGAATTTGTAATAAAACACCAGGGAAGATCCATTTGCAATGTCAAGTTTTGTCATTTTGAAAAGAGTCTAGTGTGTATTTCAGGCAGACCCAGGCTAGTTCTGTGCAATGGGATGGGACTCTAGGAATGCCCCGTTGGCGACATCTGGGCTTACAGTGCCCTTCCTGGTCCCAGGGCTGCGTTGGTGCTGATGCAGCCATGCCTCTCCGAGTTCCAGTGATAATGTGTGTGAAAAGACCTCTGGCTGACTCAGCAATAAAAAGACAAATCACCCACTCAAAAAAACAGGCAAAGGACTTGAATAGACATTTCACCAAAGAAGATGTACAGATGACCAGAAAGCACACAAAAAGCTGCTCAACGTCATTAGCTATTAGGAAAATGCAAATCAGAGCCACCATGAGCTACCACTTCCCACCCACTAAGATTGCTAAGATCAGAAAATAACAAGTGTTGGTCAGTATGTGGAGAAATTGGAACCTTCATCCATTCCCGGGGGGAATGTAAAATGATGCAGTCACTATGGAAAACAGTATGGCAGTTCCTCAAAAGGTAAAACATAGAATTTCCATATGACTCAAGCATTTCCACTCCTGGGTCTGTATCCAAAAGACTTGAGAGCAGAGACTCAAACAGATAGATACTTATACACCAGTGTCCAGTGCAGCAGCATTCACAATAGCCAAAAAGTACAAATAACCTAAGTGTCCACCAGCAGATGAACAGATAAATAAAATGTGCATAGTGCCTAAGGCACTGACTGCTAACCAGAAGGCTGGCGGTTCAAACCCACCAGCCACTACTCAGAAGGAAGACTGGGCAATCTACTTCTGTAGTGATACTGCCTCAGAAACCCAAGAAGGGGTTACTATGAGTCGGATTAGATTTGATGGCAGGGAGTTTTTCTTTTTTAATATACGTACAATGGATTATTATTCAACCATAAAGATACATGAAATTCTAATAAGTGCTGCAACATAGAGGACCCTTGAAAACATTATGCGAAGTGAAAGAAGTCAGACACAGAGATCACATATTATATGATTCCACGTATATGAAATATCTAGAGTAGGCAGTTGCATGGAGACAGAAGGGGGGCAGTGGTGAGTGAGATTCTGTTTGAGGAGAGGAGAACGTTTGGAAATGAACAGTGGTGATGGTTGCCCAAGATGGTGAATGTAAATAATGACACTGAATCATATGCATGAAACTGGTTAAAATGGCCAATTTTATGTTATATATATTTCACCATACACACGAAGGCCTCTGGTCAGAGTTAGGATGTCCTTGTCTGAGGGAAGGAGAAAGAGATACTCAGTGACTGGTTGGGAGGTACCTGATTACTTTGACCTTATTGGGAGCACTAACTCTGAGCTCCGTGGCTCGGGATGGGGACCTAATGGAGGGTCTGTTGACATGAGTGAGTGACCACCCCTGTAATGCTCAGCTGAAGTCCAAGGGTAGACCTCCCCTTCCAAGAGTCTCCTTTATAACCTTGAGTTCTAAAGGCCTAGGAAGCAACCTGGTTTCAAGTGGCTGAGAATCTGCCCTGGAAATTTTGCTGACTCTTACTTAGGATGTCCCGTCACAGTCCTCATGATTGAGCGAGCTCTTCCCATGGGGGTGGAAATGACAGGACACACAGTGCAGTTGGTGCCTTCGTCAGGTGAAATGAGCTAAGAGGGGAGGCAGGTGGACTCAACTTGCCACACACACAAGAGTGCAAAGCCTGAAGAGAGAGCCAAGGGGGCCACAGAAAGATCAGAACAAATGGTTTCCTCCAAAGACAGTGAAAAGCAGAACCTCTGTTTGAAGCTGTCAAAATTCCTAGTTACTGACATGTACATTGCCTTTCTTCTGGTGACTGCATTCGCCCTAATCTCCACAGTCCCATCTGTCTCTTTGGACCTTCTCTTAGTTGAGAAAAGACCTTTTTCTAAAAGACTTTGAAATTCGATCTGTGGGCATCCAAAGAGGGAAATATGGCTTGTGCATTTTGTCGGTCAGATCTGTCGAAAGCATTACCTGCTGTCCCGTCCGTCTCATTCCAGACACATCCGCGTCTACTTGCCTCCACTCGACTCTGGCACGCCCAACACCTACTGCTCTAAGGCTCTAGAATTCCAGGCTCCGTTGGTGTTTAATGAAGTTTTCAGAATCCCTGTGCATTCAAGCATGTTGACAGTGAAGTCCCTTCAATTATATGTCTGTTCCGTGAATCATCAGCTGCAGGAAGAGCTCTTGGTATGGCTCGCCCTCCCTTCTTTGTCTTCGGGTTGGTCTTGTGTTTCTGGCTTGCTTGCTTTCGCTCTTCCGCCTTCGTGTCCTTGTCTTTCCGTTCTTTCTTCCTCTCTCTTCGTGGTTTCTCCTCCCTTCCTTCCTTCCTTTTTTCCTCCCTCTTCCTCCTTTCATTCTTTCCATGTCTCTCTCTTCCTTCCCTTCCTGCCCTTCCCCTTATCTCCCTCCCTCCTTTCCTCTCCTTTCTCCTTCTTTTTCCTCCCTCTCTCCCTCCCTTTTCCCTCTCTTTCTTCCTTTTTCCTTTGGGGGTTGCTTAGAAATTATAATGATGTTAAGTGATCTCTGTCTGGGAATATGGAAATGGATGATAATATCATTTGTCTAGTCTTTAGTGTTTTGTACTTTCAATATATGATCTCAATTCATTCTGCAACCCTCCCTTGTGAGATGAAAACTGAATTTTATTTTCAGTTGAAGGAACTAAGTGCAGTTGACAGATTTAGCAAATGAAAGTATTAGACACCCAATTCAATTTGCATTTCAAATAAACAATAGATAATTTTTCTATCTAAGTGTGTATTTCATGTAATATTTGGGATATACTTACACAAAAATATTTTTAATTCATTGTTTATTTGAAACTCAGATTTAACTGAATGCCCTGTATTTTCTCTGGCAACCATAGAACTCAGACACCAAAGGATTCAGCAGTTTGTCATCAGGCCCACACAGCCATTCAATGCCAGGCCAGGATTCAGAAGCCAGGGGCGTTTCTTTCCAAAGCCGGAATGTCATTCCTTTCATCATGCCACCTCAGCAGCAGAATGAGGAAGTACAGGGCAGAGTTTAGCCAGTCCTCTCTTATTTCAAGCATTCTGGAGCGAATCAGTGGTTCACCACGTGGCAGAGTGCCAACCCAGGCCCAGCACCCCTGGTTCCCTGGTCCCTGTTCAGCACAGAGCTCTTCCTGATTGAGCTGAACAGGAACAAGCACCCAGAACTCCCCCGGTTACCCCCTCCTCGGCTGCTTTCCTTTGACCCTCTCCTTCCCTTTTAAAGGAGTTAGGGATTTTAGCTCTTTCTTGGTTAAGAGTGAAAGGTGACCTTGATATTTGAAAAGACTTCAGTGTTGAGGTGAACTCGTTCTTTGCCTACTCTGACTTCCTTACACATCTTTGCAGGGCATTGCGCAGATTAACTTGGCCGACTATGAGAGTTCCAGTGAAATGCAGCTGCGCTGGTATTCCGTCCAGGTCTTCACCAGCTCTGAGCCACAGAGTACCAGGGAGAGTGAGCGTGGGGAAGAATGCATAGCACAGGAGCCTTCACACTCCGACTTTGGGAAAACGGTATATTTCTCTGCTTTCGGGAGCCTGTCACTGCTGCTTTCCCAGCTTGGAGACAGACAGTCCCTAGGGGAAGTGATTTCTATGAAGCATCTATTCAGACTGAAAGTCTTAGGATGTAGTAGAGATGAAGTAGAGCTTCCAGGAAAATCATAAAAATGGAACACGTAGTCAATCCTTATTATTTGTGGATTCTGTATTTGCAAATTTGCCTACTCTCCAAAATTTACTTGTAACCCCAAAATCAATACTGGTGGCATTTTTACAGCCATTTGGGAATAATACTGAGAGTGGCAAGAAATTTGAGTCACCCGATGTGCATGCTCCCAGCTGAGGTCGAAAAGGCAACACTCTACCTTCTTGTTTCAGCTCTCACATGGTCAAAAGGGTCCTTTTCACAGTCTGTTTAGTGCCATTTTTTTTTTTTTTTTGCATTTTTGTTTTGTTCTGTTTTTGCTGTTGGTTGGTGATTTCACTGCTTAAATGGTGCCCGAGCAGAGTACAGAAGTGCAGTCTAGTGTTCCTATGAGCCGGAAGTTTGTGATGTGCCTTACAGAGAAGATGCTTGTGTTAGATAAGCTTCATTCAGGTGCGAGTTACGGTGCTGTTGGCTGTGAGTCCAATGTTAATGAATCAGCAATACACACTAAGTAAGATGCCTTTAAACAGAAACATTTGAAAAGCAAGGTTAGGTATTGATTGGTTGACAAAGATGTTATAACCAAAGGCTCACTAGAACCTCAACCTGTATCTTCCGTAGGAACAAGCATTCAGTATTCACTCACTCAGTGTTTACAGCAACTTTCTAGAACGTACAGTGAATAATGAGACTCGACTGTATCATGTATATGGCAATTTCATGATAATTTTTTCAATAATTTATTTTGTTGTTGAAAATAGACGCAGCAGAACAAACACCAGTTCAACAATGTCTACGTGTATAGTTCCGTGACATTGATGATATTCTTCATCATGATGATGTTTTTTATTTTTTCCTGGAAAGACTTTATTGTATTACTTGGAAAGGGAGCTAACAGCCAGCAGGGATGGGGATGCTCTCAGTCCTTCTGGGGAGCTGCCTCCTCACGGCAGCCAGGACACTACTCAGTTCTTCTTTGCTCCCTCTTGGTGTGGATGTGTGTCCCCATTCTTTCCTTGATGAGCTTGGGGCCCCGCTGGTCGCTTGTCCTTGGAGATCTCAAGCAGCTCCATGGTGCACCCCTCACATGGTGTGCTTGGGAACACACCTGCAGTGTTGCCTGGGGCTCAGCTTGCCCATGTTCTTGGTCACCTTGTGGTCCTTTTGAGGCCCATGGCCGTGAGGTAGCACACAGCCACAGCGGCTGTGCTAAAAGGCCGAGCTTATGTTGTGCTGGTGACAGTGCTTACCGTGTCACATTGGCTGCGGTCAGCTCAGCCACAGGTCGGTTCTCACCATGCCCGCTTTCTCAGCAGGATGCTGTGACTGTGCTTCTGGCGAGAACCACAGCCCAGCTGCAGGCCGTGGAGAGGGAGTTGGCGGAGGAGAGGGTGAAGCTGGAGTGCACTGAGGAGGAGATCCTCCAAGTGGAGCGGCGGGAAGGCCACGCAGAGGCTGCCCCCGACAGGTAGATGCGAGTGGTGTCTCCTCACCGCAGTGCTCATCCTCCTCCAGGCAAAGCATCGTGGACGCCGCTTCAGCAGAAAGCTTTCCACAATGGGCCTGTGGAAACCCTTCTCAGGGCAGCACAGCCTGCTTTCTTGGGGATGGTTTGGAAGGCATGTTAGTCAGACTTGGCTCTGCCCCAGGAGCTGTGTCTTTGGGAGCAAGTTGCATCTCTGGTCCAGGCCTGTGGTGAATGGGCTGGTCTCTGCTTCAGTACCGTTGCCCCGCTCACGAATGTAGTACTGCTCGGGCTGAGGGCAGTACCTTGAACACCATCCCCAACTCTCCCTCTCTGCTTTCTACCTGTGTGTGTGTGTGTGTGTGTGTGTGTGTTACAGAATCTCTCATAAAGATACCGCTCTGCCAGGCTTGAGTAAAATATAATCCCTTTATGTTTTTTTTCTTTAAACAGCTTTATTGAGATATAATTCACGTATTATACAGTTCACCCATTTAAAGTAAACAGTTAGTCATTTTTAGTGTATGCAGAGTTGAGTGGCTATCACCATGGCCAATTTTAAGACATGTTCATCACCCCAGAAAGAAACCCTGTACCCATTAGTGGTCACTCCTTATTTCACCCCAGCCATAAACCAAAGTCAGACCTGACTCATAGCGACCCCTTCTTGGGTTTCCAAGGTGGTATCAATACAGAAGTAGAATGCCCAACCTTCCTTCCGAGGAGTGGCTGGTGAGTTTGAACCGCCTGTCTTCTGGTTAGCAGTCAAATGCCATAGGTACTATGCCACCAGAGCTCCCACCCCCCAGCCATGTTGTTGTTGTTATGTGCCGTCGAGTCGGCCCCGACTCATAGCGACCACTCCTTGGGTTTCTGAGGCAGTATCAATACAGAAGTAGGATTGCCCACCTTCCTTCCGAGGAGTGGCTGGTGGATTTGAACCGCCAGCCTTCTGGTTAGCAGGCAAGTGTCTTAGCCACTATGCTACCAGAGCTCCTCCCCCCAGCCATAGGCAACCACTAATCTACTTTGTGTCTCTATGAAATTGCCTATTCTGGCCATGTCATATAAATGGCATCATACACTGTCCCTTAAAGTTTTCCCAGAAGCAGACCTGTGTGAAATAGGTGATGGATTCCGACGAACAAGCGCCTCTAGGGAACTAGTTTCTGTATGATTGTCTCTGTGGGCACTTCCACATTGCTGTCCTTCCACGTTTTTCCAAAGCATCTTGCTTTTTCCTGGCATCTTTCCCTAAATTTATGTTATATAGATATAGGAGTTTTGGTGAGAAACGGCATAGTAGAGGGGGAGGGTAGTGAGGGTGAGGATGACCGGAAGCTGGAAGGGCTTGGGTGGGGCAGATCACTAAGATTCTGGCATCTTCAGCGGCTCCAGTTGGGTGATCAAGACAGCCAGCCCCTCTTAGTGAAAGACTTGGTAAAATTGTCTTCCCTAGAAAACATGAAAACCCTTTGACTTTATGAGAAAAGCAGTGTCTTCAGTCATTAGAAGCAAGTTAGTCTTGTTGTATGTACCTCTGCTACTCTCTCTGAAAGCAGCAATGAAATGAAGTCCTTTTGATGAACATTTTCTGAGTTTTTGTTTTGTGTTGTTTGTACTGTCCCACCTTTAGGAGTTGGCAAGCTGACTCGGTCGATAGTGGGTGCAGCAACTGCACCCAGAATAGTCCCCTGTACCCAGAGCCCTGTTGTGTTGGTGTCAAATCCATCCATGGCCACACGTTTGCTGGCCAGACAGATCCTTACATCCCCGAGCAACTTCAGCCCCCACCTCTTAAGGTAAGTAGAAAACGTCAAGGCTGTTTATTTAGGCTCCTGACATTTTGCAATATAGCCCTTGGCCATGCCCTGAAAGGAGAGTAGGGGTGTGTCCTCAAAGCCTTCATTGTGAAACATTAGGGAATTGGTGAATAAGATGAACTAAAAGGAAACGGATACACACATACACAGGAGTCGAACAGTGTAGCTTGTCTAAGACACACCCAGTAACATGGTTCTGGATGAGCCATAGCGTGAAATGGACAGTGCCCTTGGATTAGGGAGAGGTAGCTAAGATGGTATTTTACTGAGCACAGAGGAAGGGCAGGGAGTGTCCTGATATTTGTAAAGTGCTTATAGCTAGCATAGCCAATACCATGGAAATGGTTAGTGGCTTAAAAATCAATTAAAAGGAAAACCCGAATCCACTGCCATTAAGTAGATTCCAACTCACAGCAATCCTATAGGACAGAGGAGAACTGCCCCATAGGGTTTCCAAGTTTGTAAATCTTCGAGGAAGCGGACTGCTACATCTTTCTTTGGCGGAGTGGCTGGTAGGTTTGAACCGCCAACCTTCTGATTAGCAGCTGAGTGCTTTAACAACTGAACCACCAGAACACCTTATTAGAAGGAAAGGAGGACTAAAAAAGGTGAATTTTTATTCCTTCATTTGCCATTGTATGATGATCCATCGCCATCTTCAGGAACAAATAAGGCTCAAATATTTCATGGGTCCCAGTGTTTGTGGATGCATAGAGTTACCTTTTCTTTTCCCTCCTTTGTGATGTTAAGAACAGTGAAATATCCTTTTCCCCTTCTCTTCATTGCATCTTAGTTGTGGTCATCACCATATCTTCAGTGAAGAAGTCTTTTCGTGTTCCCAGTGACAAATGTCTAAGGAACCCAGTGAGGTTGGAAGACACTGTATCAATCAAGCTGTATTGAAACTTTGTTTCTTAAACTGCTCAGCTCCTAAAAACAGTTTATAGTCATGCCCCCTGCTCTCACCCTGAAACATAAAAGCCACACCTTTGGCAGCTTCCCAGGCTGCATATCAGATCATGAGTAATTGTTTTGGGCCAGGCTGCCCATAATTGCCCTCATTCTACTTTCTAAGAACTTTAAAAGCATTGGCCCAAATCAGGGTAAGTGGCCATGGGAGGCTAATTTGATATGCCCTCCACCCCCAACTTTGAATTTCTAAAAATTTCACACCTGTGGAAAAGTTGTTAAGAGTACCACATCTAATACCCACATACACTGCACATGTTGTTGTTGTTGTTATTGTTGTTAGGTGCTCTTGAGTTGATTCCAACTCATAGCGATCCTATAGGATAGTGTGGAACTGCCCCATAGGGTTTCCTAGGCTATGATCTTTTTTTGTGTCTGTGTGTGTGATTTGGGTGAAAATATACAGAGCAAATTCACATTCCATACACCTGGGCTATAATCTTTATGGGAGCAGGTCACCAGGTCTTTTCTCCCATAGAGTAGCTAGTGGATTCAAACTGCTCACCTTTCTGTTAGCAGGTGAGTGCTTAACCAGTGCGTCACCAGGGCTCCTTACACTTCACCTGGAGTCCCCAGTTGTTGATTCTTCTCCACATCTGCCTTCTCTCTATGTGAATGTGCTAGGCCTTTAAGATGCAACAATGAACAAAACAAATGGAAACACCTGTCCTTAAGGGGGAGAAAGATAATAGCCAAGTTTGTTAGTAAAATGTAAGTGTTTTAGATAGCCAAACTGCCTGATGGAATATAAGATCATAGGTAAGTAGGGTTTATACAGTTTTAGAAAGAGTGGTCTTGGAAGGCCTCATCAAGAAGGTGAGTTTGGAGTGATGAAAGGAAGTAGGGAGCCTGGTGTGGGTCTGGGGAAGAGCATATGGAAGTAGGGAACAGCCATTGCCCACTTGCTGAGACAGGAGAGTCCTGGTGTGGTGAGAAAACAGCAAGGAGGCCGTGTAGCAGGAGGGGAATGAACAGCGAAGGCTCTGGAGCTAAAGGCAAAGAGAATGAAAGGACCATATCACAAAGGGCACCTTGCAGACTCTGACTTCTTCTCTGACACCAATGAGAAGCTGATTCTGAGCCTAGGGGTGGCATGTTTTGATTATGGTTTTAACTGGATCTTCCTGGTGACTGTGTTGAGAACAGATTGAAGGGGGAGGTCTGTATAGAATGAGGGAGACCAGTGAGAAGGCTTTTGCAGTGGAGACGATGGTGACATCCAGGGGTGAAAAGGTCAAAATCCACCTAATTTTGAACGTAGTCAACAGACTTTACTTTCAGACGAGCAGTGGGGTGTGAGACAAAGAGCTGAGTCCAGGATGACACTAAGATTGTTGACAGGAACAAATGGAAAGTGGAGATGCCTATCAAGGAGGAAGTGTGGGTAAAATATCAGAAACTCCATTTTGGACGTGTCAAATGTGAGATGCCTCTTAGATGTCCAATTGCAAATGGCAAGGAGACAGTTGTTTGGTGATCGTATTAGTTTCCCAGGTCTGCCACGACAAGGTACCGCCAACTGGGTAGCTTATAAGAGCAAAACTTTAGTTCTAGAGGCTAAAAGTATGAAATCAGGATGTTGGCCAGGTTGGTTCCTTCTGAGGACTCTGAAGGAGAATCTGTTCCATACCTATCTCTTAGCTTCTGGTGACAGCCAGCAATCCTAGGCGTTCCTTGGGTTCATACCAGTCACTGCCCTCATCGACACATAGCCGTCTTCCTTCTGTGTCTCTCCCTCTTTTTATAAAGATACCACTCATACTGGATTAGGACCCACCCCACTCCAGTATGACTTCATGTTAACAGATAACATCTTATTTCCAAACAAGATTACGCTCACAGGTACCGGGCATTAGGACTTTAGAACTTTTTGGATGGACGTACTTCAATCCATAACAGTGACTAAGCTAATTTTATGGCTTGTCTTATAGGAAAGTTAATGATAATAAATGAACTAATCTCTAGGTTGATAAGGAAACCAACACAGAAGATCTCTTCCCAGAAGAAGTTGCAAGTCTTCCAAAAGAGAGGGCCAGCCGCAGGGCCCGTGGGTCTCCTTTTGTGAGGAGTAGCACTATCGTCCGTTCACAGACGTTCTCACCTGGAGCACGAAGCCAGTATGTTTGCAGAGTAAGTTGGAATTTCTTTGCTATCTGTGTGGAATGCTTCCCACCCCACCCCACCTTTTTTTTTCCTAACTATGCTGAATGATTATTATCACCAGTAATACCAATCAGTGACCACCACCATGGATTTGAAATAGGTGATGTGGTGTCACCTCCTTTCCCCCTGTTCATCTACCTGTTTAGCTCTGGTTGTCTGCAGGAGTATAATACATTTCTCCTTAGGTTTTTAGTGTTGTATATGCTCCAATGCATGGTCAGGAAGCATTTTTATATCAGACTAAGGAGTAGCAAGTTGAAACAGGGCATATTTTGAATTGGGTTGAGGCCAGGGAAGTTAGATCACTTTATGTGATTAAAGTTGTAGAGTGGAGCTATAGCAGTAGTAACCAGGGTGGAGGGTAGCCTTAAAGACTCAAGACATTGGGGTGATGGGCTTTGGATTCACTCACATGTCAGTTCACACCCCTCAGGCGATGGTGGGAGATGCTTGGTAGTCCTCAACCTTGGCTGTACCTTGCAGTCAAATCATGTTGAGGGGCTTCAAAAAGTACTGATGTCCAGGTACCATCCCCAGATATTTGTGATTGGTAATAGGTGGTCAAGTATCAGAATGTATCAGAATATTTGGAAGCTCTCAGATGATTCTTGTGTGTTGGCAGGGTTGAAAACCCTGCAGTGGGTGAGAGGGCGATCCATCCAACCTGTGTAGTCACTGAAGACAGGACAGCATGCTGGAGGTTGGCAGACAGTGATAGTGTGGCAAAGACAGCACAGACTTGGAAAGAGAAGAGGTTTTTGGTGGCCTGGAGGGGGTCGTTTAGATGGAAGAGAACTTTGGCCCTTCATGTTCTATTGAATTCAGGTTGTTAGTGAAGGCACCAGCCCCTGAAGAGGGTTGGTAAGGACCTGGCTCCATCGGGGCCAAGCTCAGTCATATAAGACCCTCATATCCTTGAAGGAGACATTGGTAGTTATGGTTTAAAAGTCCCCAAGACCATCCTGAGGTTCAATAATTCACTCAAAGGATTCACGGAACTCAGAAAAGCCATTATACTCGTGACTCCAGTTCATTACAACAAAAGGATACAGATTAAAATCAGTAACAGGAAGAGGCATGTAGGGCAGGGTCCAAGAGACACCTGGCGCCAACTTCCAGGTGTCTTCTCCCAGTAGAATCTGCGAACAGCTCTTGTTTTTCTCAGCAGTGATGTGTGATAACATGCCCAGAGTATTGCCAACTGGGGAAGCTCCTCTGATCCTTGGTGCCCGGGGTTTTTATTGGGGGTGAGTCATGGAGGCATGGCTGACCGCTATAGGCCTGACCTTATAGTCTCTAGCCCCTCCAGAGGACAAGCTGATACTACATAGCCCAACACTCCCTGCCATAAATCCCATTGTTGGTATAGACTATCTGGTATGACTCAAAAGCCTCACTATGAATTCCATTTTTGGCATAGACTATCTGGCATGGCCTGAGGCCCCAGATAAATGAAGATGTTCTTATCAGGCAGGGCATTCCAAAGGCTTAAGCTTACTTCTTAGGAGCTGGGCAAGGGCCAAACCCTTTTTGGGGGCAAGATTGATCCTTTACTGCATTGGAGTGAACATCAGAAGAGTTTGGTTGGCCAAAATTGCTACTTAGCCATGTTTGGGAGACCTATTGCTAGTCTCCTTACAGAATTGACCTCTTCCTGATTGTGGCTCCTGGGACACACTTGGTCCAGGAAACACCAGATCAGGTCTGGGTCTTCTACTCAGGGCTGGATTAAGGCATGTGAAGGCCCTGTTGTTGTAGTTGTTATTTGCTGTCGAGTCAGCCCCGACTCATAGCGACCCCTTCTTGGGTTTCCGAGGAAGTGTCACTACGGAAGTAGGATTGCCCAACCTTCCTTCCGAGGAGTGGCTGGTGGATTTGAATCGCCAGCCTTCTGGTTAGCAGTCAAGTGCCTTGGGCACTATGCTACCAGAGCTCTTGTGAAGGCCCTAAGCACTGATAGTCTGTGGTGCCCTCTCCTCTGCTTACTCACACATTCAAGTGAGTATGTGTATTTATTTATGTGTGTATGAGTGCATCTCAGCTATCTATGATGTAACTTTTTAAATGTGACTATAATATCAAAGAAAACAAAAATCCTTACAACTGGACCAATAAGCAACATCATGATAAATGGAGAAAAGATTGAAGTTGTCAAGGATTTCATTTTACTTGGATCCACAGTCAATGGTCATGGAAGCCGCAGTCAGGATATCAAACAAGGTATTACACTGGGCAAATCTACTGCAAAAAGACCTCCTTAAAGTGTTAAAGGACAAGGATGTCATTTTGAAGACGAAGTGTGCCTAACTCAGGCCATGGTATTTCCAATAGCCTCATATGCATATAAAAGCAAGACAATGAATAAGGAAAACTGAGGAAGAACTGATGCATTTGAATTGTGATGTTGGCAAAGAATATTGAAAATCCCATGGACTGCCAGAAGAACGAACAAATCGGTCTCAGAAGTGGTACAGCCAGAATGCTCCTTAGAGGTGAAAATGGCCAGAATTCATCTCAAGTCCTTTGGTCATGTTTTCAGAAGAGACCGTTCCCTGGAGAAGGATGTCATGCTTGGCAAATTAGAGGATCATTGAAAAAGGGGAAGACCCTCAGCAAGATGGATCGGCATGGGCTGCAGCGATGGGCTCAAGCAGAGCAGCAATTGTGAGGATGGTGCAGGACCGGGCAGCGTTTCATTCTGTTGTGCACAGGGTCACTATGAATTGGAACTGACTGGATGCCAACTAACATGGCATGACACAATATTAGTGATTGAATGCAAAAGTGGCATACACTGTTTAACAGAAAGTGATGAACTGGTTTATAAAATCTTTAGTGGATGCAAGGTATTAATATTTTTACTATGTACCACATTTTCTACAAAAAGAATATTCCACACATTCTACAACAAAGAAAATGGGTCAGTGAACTTAGTTGTTTCAACAATCAATATAAAATTCTGTTGCTCTCCCACAATGAAAAATTGACTTTTACCAATTTTGCTTTTAACAGCTCATACTTTAGTTTTGATACTTGTTTCATAATAAATGACCACATGAAAAATGTCATAAAAGAAAATTTAATGATCAAAAAAATACTACAACAAGTTACTGTATTTCATTTTTAGATACATTTTTCATCTCTAACATGTTATAATTTAAAACTTTTATTTTTATTCTTTGATTTAATCACAATTAAGCTGCCAAACAATATCTACTTCTATTCAAAATAAGGATAATGAATTGTCTTTCTTGAATCATTGTTGTATGCTGAGGGTTTTTTAGTTTCTTTAGAGACTAAAATGAGCGTTCCGTTTTGCCCTTTGTGATCAAGTTAGATAATATGTATAAAACAATTTCAACACTAGGAAATGTGCAATGGGTTTTATCTTCTATTATAGAATCATACATGCCTACGTGAGTAAAATTTGTCTTTCCTGAATCTAAACTTAGTTTTCATGTAAGAATGAAATTGTCACATTTTACCACAAAAACAATCTCATCATGGAGATAAGCCTGCACTAATTTCTTGGATGCCTTCGTGCATTCTTCATCAGGTTGTTTAAGAAGGAAAATCTGTTTGAAAGAACTTCATACACTTAGTGTGTCAGTGATGGTGTGTATGTAGTTATGTGAGATTGATCTCTGGCACTTGAGCCTTCTGGAGCACTTCTGTCATTTACTTGTTTCTATCTTCTAATGCTTCTGTGGTGGCAAACTGCTTGCTAATCAGTATTTGGCAGTATTTGTTTTATTTTGTTTTCAAAATCTTTTCTCAGATTTTGTCAATACCTTGTTAATGACTGGTAGAGATCTGTGCCTATCTTTCAGTTTACTTCAAGTCTTGGAGAGCTTGACTCGTCCAATGAAAATGCTGCAATATATTATTCCACATAACCAACATAAATACATACTCTGTTGTTTGCATTTTATTGGCAATGTTTTTGGCTTCTCTTTTGGTCTCCTTTTTGTGTCTGGTCTTAAGCAATGTTTTCTAAGACATCCAAAATCTGAGTGTACAATTCCAGAACTGCACATGTTGCTACAGCATGTACTTCTCAACATGTATTAGAAAAGCATTTTAATGCTTAATCATTGCCTAAATATATTTTAAGAACTGCTCATTGGTGAGTAGAGATGGCAAAAAATGTGTAGAGTAACTGAACTGTAGGAGAAAAAGAAAAAAAATAAACTACTTCCAGACAATAATCTACTGCACTCAGTCCTACAAGATTAAGTGAATGTGCAACACATGATATGAAAATGTTATATCCATTACATTCTAAAATTTTCTGTTGCATGCCTTTATAATGTCCTGATGTACTGGCAACATTGTCCTAGGACTCTCCTTTGCACTTAGAAAAATCAGTTTTGCAAACTTCTCATAAACAGTGAAGTACTTGATTTGCAATTTCTTCACCAGCATAAGCCAGTAAATGTAATAAATTGCTTGACAGGTTTTCTGTCTGTTGGAGATACGTGTTTTGAAACAATACTTAGCTGATCTGTATGATAATGATAAGGAGTGAAATCTACAGAAAAACTGAAATATCAGGCTATACTTATTTCACTGAAAATAGCTGATCAAACTTTATCACTTACTAAGTTTATTCATTTTTTGGCACACAGTTTGAGACTATACAATGGGCTACTCTTTCCTGTGTTACCATATTTTGAGATGTGATCTGCTAAAAATGGATCAAACTGAACAATAAGGTCAAGTAAACCCCCAAATTTCCATTTGGTGGAGACCCAAACACTTCATTTCTTCCTTGAAAAGGTAGTCCGCTTTCAGCGATTGTTAAAATGACAGCAACAGCACATTGCAAAACCACTTTCTAATACTGATGTTCTTCATTATTTTGTGTTTCCCATTCATGAGTTAAGCCAAAACCATGTCTTCAGTTTAAATACGACAACATACAATCTCTGTGAATTGAACTGTTTTCCATGTTTATCAGTCACATTCAAGTTGCACCATTCACTAAATCCATCCATACCCACTGGCGTGGAGTCAGATCTGACTCATAGCAACCCCTCCTCAGGTTTCTGAGGCGGTATCACTACAGAAGTAGATTGCCCAAACTTCCTTCCGAGGAGTGGCTGGTGGGTTTGAACCACCAGCTGTCAAATGCCTTAGGCACTATGCCGCCAGAGCTCCCAAATCCATCCAGAGCAAATCAAGAATTAAATGATTTAGGACTGAGTATTTTGAAAACAAAACAATACACAGAGCTGACTGATGGACAAAGCAGTAGCCACTTCTTATAATTTTCACCATTAGCTGTGCACTCTAGAAACGTATTCTGCTTACAGAACCTTATATGTTTACCATCCAGAAATTTTCAACATGAATTTACAAATGGTCCACTGTGTGGTTGGCCCTCTTTTAATCCAACAGTTTATATTATTAGAAGAAAAAGTATTCCACAAAACAGGATCTATATTTCTGTTACGTATGGGGTCTGTAGATGCAACAATTTCATACTCTAAAATAGTTTAATTTTCCACATCATCATTATTATTTATTTATTTTTGCTATAGCAAGGCATGGATGCGGAATTTGGAGAAAATTCTGTTACACTGCTGTTAGCAACTTCAGCACTAGTGGTACTAGTACAGTTATTTGCCTCATTAACTCAAGTGTTCAATGGATGAAGTCTCTTCTGATTCATTATGTTTTAAAAAGAAAGTTAATTCTGGAATTGTCTTTAGGGATTCACAAATCCTTTCCTTTTTATCTTCTGCAAGCTTTCATTTTTGCAGTCCACCTAGTTGTTGCCGTTTCATTTTACCTGGATAGAAAATTACATCCTTTTTAAATTTGGTTCTACTGTAGCAAATAAATTGGGATAATTGAAAATACACTTATAAAACAAGTAACATTTATAAAATAAAATTTACATTTGAATTTGGATGTTAACCCAAAAATTTATATTTGAAAATTGGTAAGTGCAGTGAATTACTTAATATGGCTCTTCTAGCCGTGGTCTTTGTGACTCCCACCAGATGACTGGGTGTGGGACTATGCAAATATGAAGTACTTATGGCTTCCCAAGGACATTGGATAGCTTGTTAATAATGTTAAATAAGGTTCATGGTACCCTCGTGGAAGTGGGACTTTGCAAATAAGGTATATGGACCCCATTGTGAGGATTGGTCAGTTTTGCTGTCCTGCTAGGCTTAAAATGAGCCATGACAGAGGCAGAAAGGGGGACTCTCACTACCATCAAGAAAGAAGAGCCAGGAGTGGAGCACATCCTTGGACCTGAGATCGATCCTTGTGCTGAGATGGGAGAGAGACAGAGACAGCAGAGGCAGCAAAACCATGAAGCCATTGTGAGATGGAGCAGTGAGCTTCCTGACCCACAGAGTGAGAAAGCGGAGTGCCTTCAGGCAGGAGCCTTGCTGGGGGAATGGGGTGCTTCTCTGGGCAGCTATCGGCAGAGCTTTGTAACACTTGCGTGAGCAGGGCAGACGCTGAGACCAGAGAGACGCATGCCTGCAGCACAGTTGAGAAAAGCTTGTCCTAATTGAAGAACTGTATCCTGAGTCATTTTTGATCCTGAATTGTAACCTTTTACTTCCCTGGTGAAGCCCATAATCATGAATATTGTCAGTGAGTTCTGTGTGTCCATTGCAATGAATTATTAAACCCAGCAGAGAAGTAGAGAGTGCTGTTGGGAGGGACTGTTGGTATCAAACTTGGTAAAAAGTTGAAGGGTAGTGGTGTGTCTGACCTCTGCCTCCTAGGAATCAGCCTTGGGCTGTTGATCTTGATCTTTCTTTCCCCTTGTGACGTTAGAGGGGGTTTGACACCACCCCCACACTCATTTTGCAATAAGTGAAAAAAAAATTGATTTGGAACATGTAATTTTGTTCTTCGAGCCAGAGATAGTAAAAAAAATAGTACTTACCGGGTAGTTGGAAACAGTACCATTTGTGTATTGAACAATGTTCGTTGGCGGGCCCTTTGCAGATCGCCACAGGTGTTTTTCGTCTTGAAATAATACTTAAAAACGTGCACCCTCTCTATCCTTTGATGCTGCATGTTCACAGTTCTTTAGACTACTGCTCATACCCAGTGAGGGCAAGAGCAATCACAAAGGGCCTGAGACAAACACAAAAGTTGCTCAGTCTGAAGACATGCTTTGGTTCACTTTGCACAGGACCAGATACGTCACAAGTCACATGATTATAGTGCCACTGGTGCATTCTTGTGTGGTCACCGAGAGAGAACTGGATGTGAAGTTAGACTTGATGAATCCAGAATGAAAAGGAAAATATAATTGTAACCGTATACAAAATTTATAAAGTGGTATCAGTTTCACTTAATCCCTTGCCAGTTCGTTTCCACTGTAGCACTTGCCTTTCCTTGTCTCCTGTCTGCCTGGCATCTGTGGCCCTTTGCTTTGGACAACTGGAACCCCTGTTTTGTTACTGTCCTAAACATATGCTTACCTTGCTTATTGGGTCCTGACTCTGCCCCACCACACTTCGAAAGACATCGTCTAAGGAAGGGAGGGAGAGCAGATGGTGACCAGCCTGCTGACTGGCAGGTTCAGGTCTGCAGGTTGAGAAAGAGGGAGAAAACCTCCACTTACTCCAGAGAAAGACTTCTTCCCCCTTCAGTGGTATGGTCCAGGCTCTAAATAAAAGCACGCATTCACCGGCAAAGCTTTCAGAGAGCTCGTTGTTTTTCTATATATTTGTAATGGTCGTGCAGTATTTAATCAGCCGTGGCCCTGCATTTCCTGAGTATTTGGGGTTCATTGACATGGAAAGTAAGGAAATGAAGGCCAAGACTTTGTCTTTAACACAGATGCTTGTTGATCCTGAATTGAGAAAACCCCACCAAATGAAATACATAATGTCTTGTCTCCTATCAAGAAGGCATTATTTATTTTGCTTTCTCACTCATGGGACTTCCTTCTTTAGAAAACCATCTTTATACCGACTGGCTCTTGCCCAAGCCAGAAATGCAGCAAATGAGAATGATGAATAAGAAGGGAAAGACACTGAGGACAGAGCTGGCTTTCATGAGAGTCCTTCATAATGTCAAATCACAGTTGGCATCTCTAGGACCGAAGTGTTGTTGATGACGTTAGCCTGATGGACAGGGAGGAGGGTCAGGGTGGAGTTTTCGTCAGTTTTGTTGTAATTGGAAATCTTGTGGAGGTTATATTTGAAGGGAAACACAGACATATAAAAAGCACCCATAGTCATAAATGCATTTGTGTGCCTTTGAAACAAAATGAGCCAAGTCAGAGAGAACGAACATGGAGTTTCTGAACATCATTCTTTCTTCGTGCAGCTTTATCGTAGTGACAGCGACAGTTCAACGCTGCCGCGGAAATCACCCTTTGTCCGAAATACTTTGGAAAGACGAACCCTCCGCTATAAGCAGGTATGTATCATGTAAACTAAGAAGGGTCTGCATTTTCCCTGGGAGTTATTTTTACAAACCATAAAAGGTAGCATTAATTAAAATTAATTAAAAGGTAGTATTTTTATTTTCTTGTTTACGTAACATATAATTTTTGAAAGCAAATATAATGTCATAATGTTACCAATTATTTCTTAATTTCTGAAGGTAATATGATCTAAGATAATTTGTGGTCTTTATGTTTTTAAATGTAATAAATTAATAGCAATCAACCATTTCTATATAATAGAAAATCTTTTATTTGACAGGAAAGTATATGTGTGTGTGGTGTGTGTATGTATAGTTATTATTGATAATTATTTTAAATTATAAGTGATTTATTATAAATATACCCATACAGTGTATTTTCACCCATATAACGTTTATGTTCTACATTTGTTTGCCAGCCACCCCCCACCCCCTGCCCCAGGTATTTTTGTAAGTGAGCTACGCTAATTTTTGTTTTTACAGCAACATGTAAAACATTTTTTGACCTAGCACACTTTCAAAAATGCCTCTCTGGGGGGATCGTGGTTGGCAAACAAAAGTAGAACACATGTATTATTTGCATAAAAATATGGTGGATTAGAGATTTTGAGAATTTCAACATACAGCGTTCTTCTCACAGGCCTAACCTATGTTTTTCCTTTCCTTTCATCTTTAATTTCCCTCACATCATGCCACTTTTCAAAGTTTTGCCACTTATATCTTGTAAGCTAGTGGTTCCCGGTCTTTCTAGGCAAAGATCTTTTTGAATGGAAAAATCAAAATCCCAGATTTCTATATGATAATTGTACTTAGGGTAGCTGTTGACTGAGCATTATAAGAAAGTATGTAATTCCGTTACAAAAGTGTTGCTCAGCAGAAACACTATTGATGTTTCGGACCTGGTAATTCTTTGTTAGGGGCTGGGGCTCACCTATGCACTGAATGATATAGCACCATCCCTCGCCCCAGTCTCTAGATGCTAGTAACTCTCCCCCCCACCCAACCCCCAAGGTGTGACAACTCAAAATGTTTCCAGGCATTTTTTTAAAAGTTTTATTCTGAAATAATTACAGAGTCACAGAAAGTTGCAAAAATAGTACAGAGAAGACCCAGGTACCCTTTACCCAGTTTCCCCCAATGGTATCATCTTGCGTAACTCTAGTACAATAGCAAAACTAGGAAATTGACATTAGTACAACCCACAGCGCTTATTCAGAATTCCTCAGTTTCACACCCACTCACTTGTGGATGTGTATATACAATTTTATTACATGTGTAAATTCATGTAACTATTGCTTCAATCAAGATAAAAAATAATAATAAAAAAAAACTCCTATCACCACAACCCTCATGCTACATCATAGAGTCACACTCTTGTGGAGTTCACTTTTTTGGACACTTTTATTTTTTATGGTAAATATGTGAGTATCTGCAGGCATTTTTGCCCAGTGTCCCTTGGAGGGCAAAATCAGCCCTGGTTGAGGACCACTGAGCTGTTATTAATTCAGCATTGTTTTTCAATGCATTTGTATGTATTCAATTGCAATGTGTATTTGCATTTAAATTGTGTGTATATGTACAAAACATGTCTTTCCCATTGGGTGGGAACCACAGGTCCAAACCCCTCCAATGAAAGTCTGTTCTCATCTTAGGACTTTTGAACGCAGCGTATTTGCATCCCTGGCGCTTATATTGGGAGAAAAGTTTTTGGCCACTTGCTTATTTGTGTGTGTGATTTTTAAAAAACAAAAAAGCACTCATACAGCTTGTAAAACGCTTTTCCTCCCATGCCATAGATCATTAAGATCTTTCCATGTCAATATATATTTTTTTAATGTTTTACAGTGACTGCATTTTATGCTGGTCTTGTAATTTAATTAATTTCCTGTAGCTATATATTTAGGTGGGTTTTTTTCTGTCATAAACCTTAATTGGACAACTTTTGCACGTCTGCAGTTGTGCTTTCAGATGCAAGTCTAAAATGAAATTCCTGAACCAAGGAAAATATACATTTTTCATCTTTTAATAAATATTAGCAAATATTACTTCAGAAAGATTGTATCCATTTTTTGACCCTTCCAGCCCTGTATAAGAGGATCTGTTTCTTCACGCTTTCGTAAGCACATAAACCCTCTGCCACTGAGTCGATTCCAACTCATAGCAACCCCTACTGGGTTTCCAAGGCTATAAATCTTTATGGAAGTAGATTGCCTCATCTTCCTCCCATGGAGCAGCTGGTGGATTTGAACCACCAGTTTTCTGGTTATCAGCTAAATGCTTTACCCACTACAGCACCAGAGCTCCTTTGTAACACGTAAGTCATCGTTAAAACAATTTGCAGTTACTAACCTTGATACTGAACTAGAGATTTAAATTAATCTTGATAAAAATCTATCTTTCTTAACGTTAGGCCGTGCTTAGAGTAAAGCCTATACCATAACTGTGCTTCACCTGTCTTCTATTACTTGTGGAAGAACCTTCTTGAAGGCCAGAGCTTGCCAGCTGCATTGCATTGTGGTGAGTGTGCTGCGCACCCGTTGTGGGCTGTGTGTGCTCACGGCTGCTGTCTCCTGTAGTCCTGTAGGTCTTCCCTAGCCGAGCTTATGGCCCGTACCTCCCTCGACCTGGAGCTGGATCTCCAGGCGTCAAGAACGAGGCAGAGGCAGCTGAACGAGGAGATCTGCACCCTTCGTGAACTGAGGCAGCGATTAGAAGATGCCCAGCTCCGAGGCCAGACCGACCTACCCCACTGGGTGCTTCGGGATGAGCGATTCTGGAACCTGCTGAAGGAAGCAGAGAGGCAGGTAAGATGGGTTGGGCCTACTTCAGCTTTCCCTTGGCGTCCCAGGTGCTGACTGACTGGTAGCAGTCAAGACCCTTGCTCTAGGTGAACTTAGGTTCTGTGGTAAGTATCTCAGATAATCCAAGTGGTTATTTTAAGGAACTCGGTTTTCTCCCTCTGTGGACCAGGAGGGTAGAGAGATGGCATCACAAAGATCTTGAGGCTTTGGCACTTCTTCAAGGAGGGCTGGGGGGAAGGACCCAAGGGGTGGGAGAGCAAGAGCTTCAAGTCCCGCTACAGGCATCCTCACTGCCTCCCTTCCCCTTGGTGGGAATGTTCTGGGTCCCATGTAGCCAAGTGGTGGCCCCTTCTGTGAAGAAGTCCTGTGAGGGAGTAGATCAGGAAGACCTTTCTCCCCTCACTGTCACACAGAGGCCTATCTAAGGTATGGCAGGTATGGCACATGCCCTGGGCACCACTTGAATGGGGACACCACTGAGCAGTTTCTATAATCCATCGCAGTTCCCATCACCAGCTGTGAGAGATCATTCAGCAAGTTAAAACTAACTTTTGTATTTGAGAGCGTCCATGGGTCAAGGCAGATTGTGCTCTGCTGAGTGTAGAAAGAGAAGACCAAACCTGTTGCCATCAAGTCGATTCCAACTCATAGCAGGCTTAGAACAGAGTAGAATTAGCTTCCCCATGGGGTTTCCAAGACTGGTAATCTATATACAGGACTGCCACATCCTTCTCCCGCAGAGCGGGTAGTGGGTTCGAACCACCAACCTTTCAGTTGGCAGCTGAATGCTTTAACCACTGCACCACCAGGGCTCCTAGGATTACAAGAAAGTAAAAAAAAAAATGACTTTGAACATATCATAGACCGATTTCTCTCAGTGAAAGCAAGGACGATGCGGTTGTAATTTTCATACAGTGCCATGATGTGTCAAGAACTAAGGAGCTCAACTTGTATTTTTGAGCTGATGTTACAGTGAAGTGGTCTGAAAAGTGAGTGCCAGATGTTTGACCCAGGGCACAATTTCCTGTAGATACGCCTCTTGTGTCACAGTGTGGTTAGTTCCTTCCTGGTCTCCACAGATGGTAGTGGATTCCTTCATTCTTCCTTAAAAATGAAAATGAAAAAGTTTCCTTAATAATCAACTGTTGCTGTTCCAGACAAGACAGACCAAACTTGAGCACCATCAGGAACAGGCAGCTGAGAAGATGCTGAAGAAAGCCTCTAAAGAAATCTACCAGCTGCGAGGGCAAAACCACAAACAGCCCATCCAAGTGCAGACCTTTAGGTACAGAAACAGGGCAACGGTGCTGGGCCCCCCTTGGTCTGAGTTCTTGGGACACTTACTTCTTTGTTATTATAAAAACCCACAAGAAGTTGAGAACAAAGGAATCAACTGTAACCTGTGTCCCACGGTTCTGATTGTGTTGGCGTTTCCTTCTGATCTTTCTCCCTATGCACTATTCTTTTCTACTATAATACTTTCTCAAGTCAATAGACTTTCCTTAACTACTCTGCATAATACGCTGCTTCTTTCCAAACGTCTGCTGTTGTAAATAACACAGTCATTGTCTGTGTGCGTGTATGTGTCACATTTGCTTTGTTAGTAACTTTGGATTGAAGCATGATATACCTACAGAAAAGTGTCCATTTATAGCTTGATGACTTGTCACAAACTGAACACCACAAGACTCAAAACATTATCAGCACTCGCACGCACAAGAGTAATCCGTGTTGATTTTTTATATAAGGGAAATCACAGAGTTTCCTCATCGTGTGCCTTTTTTTTTTTTTTTAATTGAGGTAAAATGCACATAGCGTCAAATGTACCATTTTAAAGTGAACAGTTCAGTGGCATTTAGGACGTTCACGATGTTGTGCACCAGTCGCCTTGATTTGGCTCCACAACGTTTTCACCACTCCACAAGGAAACGCTTTGCGTATTGGCAGGCCCTCCCGTTTCCTCCAGCCCCCAGCCGCTGGCATCCACTAACCTGCTTTCTGTCTCTGTGGATTTGCCTGTTCTGGGCATTTCATATCAATGGAATCATACAATATGTAGTCTTCTGTGAATGGCTTCTTTCACTCAGTGTAATGTTTTCAAGGTTTATCCATATTATGGCATGAATCAGTACTTCACTTCTTTTTATGGCCAAATAATTTGTGCCCGACTTGAAGCTTTACTTTTTGTATACCCTTTCTTTCATGTCCCCGTCACCAAATGGCATAAAATACTATAACTGTCTGTCTTCTACTGTGGTTTAGAACACGTTCACTTGCACATTTTCATTTATTCATTCCTTTATCAAATATTCACTGAGCACCTCCGGTATACCTGGCTCTGCTCTAAGCCCTGGAGATCAGTCAAGCCTCGCCTTCATGGGGGCATGGTAACTTCCATTCAAAGTCTGAGAATCTGTATTGTGGGGGTTTTGAATTCAGTTCGTTCTCTGAATAAGAAAAGCTGTGATTGATATGCAATCCTCATGCCAGCTCTCAATATCTTTCGATCATCTTCTAACCTTTCATTCTTTCCAATCCCAGGGAGAAGATAGCATTTTTTACCAGACCAAGGATTAACATACTTCCTCTGCCAGCCGATGACGTTTGATGTAGTGCCTTGTACACATGAAGTATTTATCTGCCTGTTTTATTTCCATGAGTTCTTATACTAGCTAAATTTATCTTTAAAATGTTTGTGCAAAGCTATTAATATACACATTTTGTAAAAAATGAAAAAAACACTGATATGTATACATATATATTTTATAATAGTGACAGCAACAGGGCTTGGTTTTTCCTTGTTGTGAAATTGACATCTCTGAAGACACATTGTTTTATAAAAGATCAACTATCACGTTAAGAGTGTACAGTTTTTATGCTGTTTTATTTGACTTAAAGGCTGGAAGACAGAAACGAAGTGAGTGCAGGCAAATTCACTATATTGTAATTTATTTATAGTACTTTTTTTTTTCCTTGAAGGAAAATACTGACTTTAAGATATATTTTAAGACTGAAATTTTGTTCTTCAGTATGTGTCACACAGTAGAATGGAGCTTGGGGGCTGGTTTGGTTTCTGACACCTGAAATGCCAGCACGATGTGCTCAATGCGTCCCTCGGGTCATTTTTGCCCATGTGCATTCATCATGTGTAGTGTGCGCTTTCACGCTCCGTGTGTTGTGTTCCAGTACCAGCAGCTGTGTTGTAATCGTGATGCAGATGCCATGTATGCATTGCAGAGCTCAGCCTCCTATTTGTGGTGGGCACTAACAGCTTCTCGTTTCTGTGTCGCCCTATGCGTCTTTCCGAGCTTCCCGTGCGTCTGGAGCAGGCGCCAGTCTCAGGCCACCCAGGTTTCTCGCCTACCTGTCCACGTGGGCTGTCCATAGTGCCCTCGCTTGTTAGACAGTGTCCAGGCCGCCTTTGGAGTCTGTGCTGTCTCATTGCAACAGACACGGAAGGTGGCAGAGAAACAATTGTGTCGTGAAGGAAAGTGGAACGAACTGGGAACACGCATTTTCAGTGAAACCACTGATGAATATAGCAATTCAAACACAGACACAATAACTTCTGAAGATGCTTTATTTGTGGAGGGATTTGTGAGTAACTAGAATTATCCAGTGAGTCATTTACAGGAGAGTTTTGGATTTAAATCTGAATGTTCCCCCTATACTAGAGCCCACCCAATATTTCTCAAGAGCTCTTAAAATTAGCTCGTGAGAAGAATTTTGCTTACATAATAAAAATATGCCATTATTCTTTTAAAATGTCAAATGATATCGATGTTTGCCTGATACATATTTATCATATCTGAAACGGATGCTCCTTTCAGAGGCTTAGATGAGAGAGCGAGGGGGAGCACATAAACTGTAGGAGAAAACACAACTTTTGTCCTGTATCTTGCTTTCCCTCCCTTTGGAAACGTCCTTTTTAATCAGGGTCTTTCTCATCACATTGCTGTGTGATTTCCCCCTTGTGTAACCAGCCTTCCTTTTTACATTTATTAAAAATGAATTTTGTAAAAGTATTTCATTGACACGCGACCTATCACAGACAATGGAGTTTGTCAGTGGTGGTAAGACTGAAAACTTTATGCTTGTCACGGTTGTCATCTCTTGCTCTAGTCTTGCTTTTTTTTGCATTTACTTTATTTTTTTGGCCAATTTTTTTTTTTTGTATACATACCCACAACAGAAGTAGAGACAAACTCACAAAGTGTCAGTTCTTACCAGAATAGCCAGTCAACAGACAGCATTGCTGAGCAGAACAGTGACGACAGTGGCAGGAGCTCTCTATCCCCCGGCAGCTGACACTTGAAACAGACTTTAAGAAGGTCTGTTGCTGGACTCTAGAGTGTGCACAGGGCTAATCAGTTACATCTCAGGCACACGGCTCACTTGATGAGTTCCCTGGCTGAATTACCTGTGTTCTTCCTTATGGCCGCTGCCGCACATAGCTCTTTCTACAGGGATTGAGGCAATTTTTCTGCCAACCCATATTAAGTAGCAATAGGGGGATAACTTACTGTGCCAGATGGTTTTAGATAAGTTTCACTGCCTCAGTTTATGCAGGCTTCTGTTTGGAGCGGTTCCCCCACACACACCCAAGGGGTTTTGTTTTGTTTTGGTTTTTAAATCCCACCTTCACCCTGCGAAACAGCAATTCAACGCCTGCTTCCATGTCAATCCAATGAAGTCGTGTGTTTGTCCTCTGCCCGTTTGCTTTTGCAGCTGAACGGGACCATAGTAAGGAAAGAAAATCAAGATAAATGAAGGAGGGAGAAGTGTTCACCATCCATGCTGAAAAGAGCCGATGGGCAGTGTTACAAACCGCACTGAGCAGGCAGGAGGGCACGAACCACCCAAATTTGTTTCTCATTCGTGGCCTGATTTTGTGACTTCAGACTACTTGGGACTGCTACCTTCCAGAGAATATCCCATGTATCAGAAAAGAGACGTTTCATTGTCTTAAGGGTTGTTTGTTTGTTTGTTTGTTTTTTCCATCATCTTATGTTTAAATTTGTTCATAGGCTGTGCTTCCTGATGCGAAAAACTTTGCCCTGTTTTCGTTACAGTCATAGTCAAGAAACTATCAGAATCCTGCCACTACGGTTCTTTAAAAACAGTACTATGTGTAAAAGGGAATTTGGTTTTCACTTGATCTGATCACTGATTTGTCTAGCTTTGGTCAATTACTGCTGAAATCAAGAATTCTTCTGTTGTGGGAAAAAGTTATAATCAGTATTCATCTCTTTGTTTTTGTCACTGTTCTCTCTAATTGTGTCATTTGTATTGTTTGAAAGTATTTCTTCTATAAAATTAAACTAACCTGCCTTAAGAACAGAGTGGACATGTGTTTTTTTTTTCTTTTTTAATATTTAATTTTCAAGGCTTTTATATCTATAAAAATATTTATATGTTTAACATAAAAATAGAGGGCATGATAAAATGAACCCCCACAGGCCTCTCACCAACCTTCCACTTGGTTGAGGCAGGGCCAGTCTTAGTTCATCTACGCTGCCATCCACTTGCCCCTCGCCAATCCCATACACCGTATCATTTAATCTATAAAGATTTCAGTATAATAAACATACACAGAATACTCTTAGCACATCTCAACAATTAATAATTCCTTAATATTAAATATCCAGGGTTCCATTTTCTAGTTGTCTCATGGTGTTTTGGTAACAATTTTCTTGAGATGTAATTCACATACCAATACAGTTCATCCATTTAAAAAGCCTGTATTTCAGTAATTTTTAGGATATTCACAGAGGCATGCAAACATCACCACAATCAATTTTGGAATATTTTCTTCATCCTAAAATGCCATACCTGTTAATGGGTCCCCTTTTCCCTTCAGCTCCTGGCAACCAGCAGTCTGCTTTCTATCTATGGGTTTGCCTATTCTGGACATTTCATATAAATGGAATCAATACAATATGTGGTTTTGTGTGTCTGGCTTTTTTCACTTAGCATAATGTTTCCAAGGCTCATCCATGCTGTAGCATGTATCAGTACTTCATTCCTTTATATGGCTGAAGAATATTCTATTGCATAAATATACTGTTTGTTAATCTACTCAGTTGATGGACATATGGTTGCTTCCACTTTCTGGCTGTCATAAGTAAGGCCACTTTGAATATCTGTGTGTAAGTCTTTGTGCAGAAATATGTTTTCATTTCTCTTGGGTCTATATCTAAGAGTGGAATTGCTGGGTCATTTGGTAAATCTGTATTGTACTTTTTGGGGAACTGACAGACTATTCTAAAGCAGTTGGACCATTTTACATTCCCACCAGCAGTGTATGAAGGTTTCCATTTCTCACATCCTTGGCAACACTTCTTATTGTCTGTCTTTTTGATTATAGCCATGCTAATGGATGTAAAGGAGGTTAGGTGGTGCAAGCGGTTTGCAGCCAACTGCTAATCTAAAGGTTGGCAGTTCACTCTCACCCAGTGGCTTCTTGGAAGATCATAACCAATCAAGAAAACCCCATGGAGCAGTTCTATTCTGTAACACGTGAGATTCCGTGAGTTGGAATCGACTTGATGGCAATTTTTTTTTTAATGGATATGAAGTTGTATCTCATTGTAATTGTGTCTGTGTTTTTTAACCTGTAGAATCTAGATCTTTCCCTCCATCCCACCCCTCCTCCCCACACGTACACACTTGTAGTTTGTTGAAGAAACAAGGTTGTATGTCACAGTCTGAACTTTGCTGATTAAATATCTCTGTGGCAGAGCTTAACATGTTCCTCTGAACTTTAGTCCCTATAAATTGGTATTGGACCTAAAACCTTTATCAGATTACAGTTCTATTTTGGTTGGTGTGGGGGGTAGGGGCTGGCAAGACTATTTCATTTGATTGTCCTTTGGGAGGCTTAAAATGTCTCTGTGATATAAGTAGCTATTGATAGTCAATGCCTTACTGCATGCTGTTGAGTCTATTCTGACTATAGCGACCCTATGGGACAGAGTTGAACTGTCTCACAGGGTCTCGAAGGCTGTCAGTCTTTACAGAAGCAAAGCCTAAACCACACCCACTGACAGTGCCACTAGAGCATGGAGCAGAACCGCCCCATATGGATTTTTAGCCTCTAATCTTTACTGAAGTAGATCACCAGGTCATTTCTCCCACAGAGCCACTGGTGGGCTCGAACCCCTGACCTTTCAATTAGCAACTGAGTGCTTACCCATTGTGCCACTGGGGCTCCTAAATCAGTGCCTGTTGTTGTTTGCCATCGAGTCAGACCCAACCCATAGCGACCCCTCCTTGGGTTTCCGAGGTAGTATCACTATGGAAGTAGATTGCCCAACCTTCCTTCCGAGGAGTGGTTGGTGGGTTTGAACCTCCAGCCTTCTGGTTAGCAGTCAAGTGCCTTAGGCACTACGCTACCAATGCCTAGATCCATTAATTTACTAAGTATTAGCAAATGGTGATATTCTAGTTCTGTCATTCCTTCTAATTTATTAGCTGAAATACCTTTATAAAGAGAATTTCACTCATCTGTTTGGTACTCATCTTTTTGGTACAGCTTGTATAGGACAAGCAAGATCAAAGCTTCATTCTTTCCTTTATTAGTTTTCAAAATATTGAATTGGTTCCCTAGCACTGTACAGTGTTGACGAATTTGTTGAGGTTTTTGAAAATTTTTTTTTACAGGGTTTGTATCCTGCTCCCTTGTTTCTAGCACTTTATCCTGTTTCTTTGTGTGGACTGTGATGGTCTGT